TGAAGTTGAAGTGGAGTTGCTTACCCTCGCAGCTGCCCATCTCTGTGAGCCCTTAAATGCAATAGATACGAACTAAAGAATACAGAATCAATTAGAGGAAATTACAGCGATTGTTGAAATTCTTGATAGTAGACTTGTCAGAGTGAGATTTAGATAATTACAATTAGTTATTCAATGTTGATAAATTCTTTTGTGTTTAGTGAAAGTGGGAAATACAATTGGTTGGGGTATTTTCTATGATGAAAATTGTCAAGATGATAAAATTGAACAATTATGTCTTGTTTTTGTTATGTTTAATAATAAAATAATTGATGCTCTTTTTGTTCTACAACCTGAAGGTGGTTTTGTTCCGATTGTATTGCTTCAACCATATGGTATAAAATAAAGTAATATAGAATTGAATTTAATATTTTGTAATTTCAGCAACAAAAGTATCAATTGAAACAAGAAATGTATTGACAAACGAAGAATTAAATAACCTTCAAGGATTATATATACAAATGTTAGGACCAGCAATAGAAATTTATCAAAAAGATAAAAATGAACGAAGTAAATCAAATGATTTTGTTTTTGTTTAATGTAAGATAATTTAAAATTTTATCGTAGATTTATCCGAAGATTTATTTCGAAAAAGTGATGAAGTTCTGTTAAATAATAATGATTATGCTTGTCGAGTTTCTATTCCAACATCTAAAAATTCGCTTCATTACATACAATTTAATCGACCATTAACTTATGAACGACGTTTCTTTTTCGTTGAATTAGATAATATCAGTAAATTATCGAATTTTCTCTTGTATAAAAATCTAATTTCTAATCTAATTTTCTATTAGATCAACAATGTCAAGTAATAGTTGGTGTTGCTTCATCAAAAAATAAATTAAATGAAGCAGCACCAGGAATTCTTCAAGATACAGTTGGTTACAATTCTTCTACAGGAAAATTATATTCCAATCGTAAACATATAGGAAATATGCGTGGACATAGATGTCAAAAGGGTGATACAATGGGTGTTGAAATACAAGTTTTCAATAAAGATATGAGTGTTGTTTTATTCAGTAAAAATTTCCGACCAATTGGTACACGTTATTTAACATTAAATGATCATTCAGAATATTTTCCAACAATATTTATTGAAAATAATCATTATCCTGTTGAATTATCAATTTATTGGCAAACACGAATTGCTATTCCACCGTATTTCTGTATGGTTCGTTAACTTTCTGTTTATTTAATTGAATAATTTATTGTTGATTTTATAGAACAATCCAGAAGATTGGTGTGTACCAAATGGAACAAAGATTGATTTACAAGAAAAAATATTCATTTTACCACAACATATTAATCAATCATTATGTATTCAAGCTCCATACAGTTTAAATAAAAGTAACAACAAAAATATTTTTGTATAGATAAAGAATACTACCCATAAAGTATAAATATTTGAATGCCATTTCGTGTTCGATTCACTTACTGAACTTTTAGTTAGTAACGAAAGTTTTTTCAATAAAACAAAGAACAATGTCATTTATATAAGTAATAATATCGTTTTGTTTAGAATATAACCATTTTGAAATCATTCTTTTGGATAAAATAAGTGATGATGAACCACTACCTGGTATGTCTATCTATGACTATTATGTTTAAATTTCTTTTTCTTGTATAGCTATTGCATTATGTACAGCTTCACCTATGAATTCATCGTCAATATCTGAATTTAAACAGGATTATGTACGTTTCTGGGCAACAGATGCAGGTAAATAATTCTAATAAATAGCATCAAAATTTATGCTTTATTTCAGGTGCAAAGTATTTAAATCAAGGTGATAAAATTGGTTGGAATATTTTATTTCCTGAAGAAGAAAATGAACAATTAATTATTTGTTATTTAACTATTAATGACACTGTTGGCTATGCTCGAGTACTTTATCAACCTATTGGTGGTTTTTATCCAGTTGTTATAGCTCCACCAAATGGTACTTTTCTTTTAAACTAATTAATCGATAAAATATAAAAATTTTCTTTCTATAGTCAATCGTATACAAATTAATTTTTCTGCTACAAAGATATTATCAGAAGATTTTACGTCAGAACAAATTAAAACACTTATTATGAACGCTCGACATCAAATAGAAGATCAAGAACAAGAACAACAATTAACAAAACGTAAGACATGATTTTTAAGACAAGAAAAAAAACGTATAATTCAAAATTCTTTAGAATAATTTATATCTATTGTAAGTAAATCAATAGTTTATTTTTCTGTATCTCGTTATATAACCATTGCATGTTTATATCTTTTATTATTTATTACAAAATATTCAATTTACTTTCTAATTTCTAGGTTTAATGGGAAAAAACAATATGACGATAAATGAACAGTCATTTATTATGAATTCGACAAAATTACATGATAAACAATATAATACAAATGTTCCAATAGTGAAATCAGCAGCTTGTGTTATTCTTTGATTTTATAGTTTAGATAGATTTACTATGTTAAACTTCAGTTTTTTTTGTATTTATAAAAACAAATTACAGGTGATTATTTAGTAAATAAATGATAAAAAATTCTGTTGTACTTATTTAATAAGTGTCAGTAGAAAAAAAATTATAGCTTAGATTATAGACAGTAATTAAGTTTTTTTTTCTGTGGCTGAATATTATTTGATTTATACTAATACAAATAAAAGTCATACTATATCACAAATTTTTTGATCATTTATTGTCTGACAAATAATTAATAAAATATATTACAGATAATGATCATGTTATTTTTTAAATATTTCTCTAATCGGCTTAACGTTTTGACCATAATGAATCTGGCGTCTTGCATATTAGTTATCGACAATATTTTTGATGAATCATCATTTGATAACTAATATAGAATGATACGATTAGATATATATCATTTAGAAAAGTTGACAGAACGAATCGACTACGTATATTCGAATTCATTTTAGAACTGTTCAAAAATGATATCCATAATAAACTATCGCTATAACATAATCACGATAGTCGTAGCATGAATATAAGAGAACTTCAACATTCAAAAAAAATAAAATATTCCGATCTTGAGTTAACTCCAAGATGAAACTAGAGTACCAAATATGATGATTTCAAAGTCACATTTTCAAGATTGCTTTGTCTTCACAGTACATTCAATATCAAATCATATACACAACTTCATTTTACGATATTCCAACTGAAACAAATTCCCTGTTCAAATCTGTCCTTCATGGAGGAATACATTTACTCACTGCTGACCTCTATCTTCTGGCCATTTCGTTATTTGTCCACTATATGGTCTTTGTTTTTTTTCGAACTTTTATGTTCACTTTTTTTCTCGAACGTTATTTGAAATTTTTTTATCATGACTGAAACATCCATTCGTGATGTTTTTCTTTCAATGCAACTACCACCTGTAGATGAAATAGTTGCTACTTCAAAAACTGGTCAGTTTCAGTATGTCTTTTGTTCTTAACGAATATTTTTGTATATTTAGATTTTCGAACAATTCGTAAATCTCGTCGATCATGTTATCGATCTTGTATGTATCTTATTTTTCAGAATTTAATCCACTAAATTATTCTTTACTTAGATCATATTCCAAAAATTGATGAGACAACTGAAACTTCAAATGTCCTTCTTGATGAATTAATCGATACAATTCAAACAAAAAATAATCATTTAAAAGAACATTTAAATCAAGAAAATCAAGCTATTGAAGATTTAATATGTAAAAAGTTAGTTTATTTTTCTATCAAAAATAAAATAAAATACATTATTTTTCATTAGACGTGAAATTGATTTATGGCGTCAATTAACTAATTTAGTAATACTTCCATCGAATCGAAAAACATCTCTTGATGAACAAATACTCGCTTGTAAATCATTCTTATTTCGTATTTTGTTAAAATTATTTTAAAATTTTAGATGATTTAAGTGAAAAGAAAACAATTGAATTTCGAAAAGATTCGAATGAAAATCCACAATTAAAAGCTTGGAATTATATAGGTCGTCATATAACAGATGATTTAATAGAAAATATTCTTCGTGATTCGAGTAATAATAATAATTCGAATAATGCATCCAATGGACATCATGCAATAAAAAAAGCTCGACGAACAAATGATGTAACACAAAAAATACGTCCAAGTACAGGAAAATCAACAGCAATTGGTACTAATTTACAATCAAAAACTAAACGAGCAACACGTCGTAGTCGAATGTGAACATTTTATGTATTTCTTTCTTGTTATTCTTGTTGTTGTTGTATAGAATACTTAATACATTGTAAATAAATAGAAATATTCTTATTTGTATTTCAGATTAAATTATTCTAGCAAAAACAAGAAATGGCAAAAGCACCACTTAAACAATTATCTGTTAATACATTTGAAAGTAATCGAATTATATCACCAAAATCATCAACAAAAAAGGTAGAAATATTACTCTTAGATCTTTCGCAAATGATCTATTTTCTTATTTTTATTATATAAAGACAACTCGAGTACACATAATAGTATGAGAAGCGAAGGAAAATTTAAGTAATAATTTACTCATCTCAACTTCGTTGTTCATGAAACTTATTACAATCATTTTTCTAATTTGAAAAAAAGCTCAGATACGATGCAACTAGAGATGTGCAGGCCCAACACTTGAATCTGGGGCTATATAATGACCTTTGCTATGTTGACCTTAATCAAGAAAAATGAAACAAAAAGGTGCTAATCGACCACTAAACAAATTTTAAAACGAGTATTGAAAAATTGTTTTAGAAATTCACTAAATAATTTTCGGTTAACTGTCTCTGGGACGATATTAGAGATGAGCGGGACCAGTTCTGATCCCGATCCTGGGACCGGGGCTAAAAAATTAAACTTTACTGAGACCGCAGCCGGGACCGGGATCAAAATAAAAGCTTTACCGGGACCTAAAAAGGTTGGTCCCGCACATCTCTACTATATAACAGAAGATGGAAAAATTTTCTTTTTGCTTATTTTATAGAATGCACCTATAATTCATGATACACAAACAATAAAGAAAAGAAATGCTGTTTGTAAACAATTAATACCTATTGAAGAAGCAAGTATTGATATACCATCAATTATTAAAGCTGGTTTACGAATGTCAACAAATGAATTTGAATCATATGTTCAAAGTATATTATTTTTCGAATATATAAAGTAATATAAATTTATTATTATTATTTTAGAAACAGCACCTGAATCTTATTGGCATATTATGGCTGAGCATTATAGAATTAAACTTGATGATGTAACACGTGAAAATCAACAAGTAAGAAATATAAACAAGAATTGATTTATTTTTATACAATATTTTCTTTTTTTTGCTTAAGCTTCATGAAATTGTTGATGGTTTAAGTAAAGATAATGATAATTTACGTGCAGTTGCGGATCATTGTGAATATTTAACTGATATTATTGAAGTAAAATACATATTTACCTTAATTTAAATCTTTAAATTTTGTTTTCTTTTTTAGAAATTAACCAGTGAAGATGATAATGAAAATGCAAAGAAATCATCAGTTTGTGTACGCTTGTTTTGATTTGGAAAAAATAGAAATATGTGAACTATAGATCCTTATATATATATAGATATAAATATTTTGTTGTGTTTATTTTGTGTTTCATTATTGTAAATAAAATGAAAAAAACTAATCGATGTCGTTCGATAAACACATAGATTAAAAATAAAGGTGAAATTAATTTAAAAAATTGTATTCATATGTTAAAGTATTAGAACATCGAAAGAAAAATATGATGCAAGACTCATCATGAACTATCTAACAAATGAAAAATCATAAAATAGTGGTTAAAATCGATTCGTTTATCTTGATTTAAATGGATTCTTACAGAGAAAAAAAAATCAAAGGTTGAATATCGATTCCAGTAGATATTCATTTTGACAAACACTATGCTTGCCCATAGAGAGATAATGGTGTTTATGTAACAAACAAGTAGTTCTAAACAGCTATTGAAATTTCTGTGATTTCAAAAAGATCATATTTACTGCTATTTTATCTAGTGGGCGGGTTGAGTGAGCGGCGCTCACCCGCCATTTCGATTCACACCCTCCGAAAAAAGGAACCTAGATAAGAAAAACTATTTATTATATTTTCAAAATAAGCGAAGAAACAATAAAATATGATTATATTTTCTTTCTTGAGTTTTATTCAAAAAATATGATCTCTTTTGATCTATTTGAAATATAATACAATCTGACAAATAAAAACTCATTTCGAGTTTTATACATATACATTAAAAAAAATATACACATTCACATATCAAAGTTCGTTTTTCAAACATTATTTCAATTGGGTTGACTATCATCAAGAAGACTATCATGTTCATGAGTAAATGACTAAAATATATAAAAAATATATTAAATATGAAAATAAAAAGATAAATTACATTTAGAACATTTTGTAAATAATCACAATGACTGGATACTTTACGAAGTTGTTCATTTTCTTTACTTAAATCTTCAACAAAATTGTGCAACTAGAAAAACGAAAAAAAGAAATAAATCAATTAGAAATAATTTTATTGAATGTACTTGTTGATTTTCATTAGTTGTTTCTTCATAAGCTTGTTTTCGTCGTTCAGTCATTAATTTCCAATATGCTTCCGAAGCTTCATCTAAAATAACATAAAAAAACGATCAATCCTTTTTTTTTAAGATTATTATACTTTGCATAAGCATTTGAACAATTTCTCCAGCAGCATTATTATTTTTTTCTAATGCTTTAGTCATTTGTTCAGCATAATTAGGTGTATTTGTACCGATATCACGATTAAATTGTATTTGATCCGTATTAATACCGATATTTTGTGTTGTATTTATAGTTGAAGTTTTTGCTTTTTGATTTGTTGTTCGATTATTTTCAATTGAATGAAGTAAATGAAGTTTCGAAGGCGATTTTTGTGTCATAATTAATATAGAAGAAATTATCAGTTCGATCGATAGAATTTTTTGATATATGTTCTATTAGAAATATTTCTAAAACAAAGTGACATTGATATATCAATCGCGGAATATGACAATAGATGTCAGTAAAAGAAATGTTTTATATTATTGGATTTGAACATTGCTTATAGATTGTGACATTTTATTTATTTTTCCTAAATAAATAGATTATTAATATGATATCATCATCAAGTTTATTAGAATCTCGTTTAAATTCTTTAACAAATCGTTCTGATCCTGATACAGAATCTAAAGTACGTTCATCAATACGTGCTATTAATGAAACGATACAATCGAATGCCAATGAACCATCATTAGCTTTCTATCGAATACAAGTAAATAAACAAGCAAAATAATTTCTTTTCATAAATATTTTTTGTTTTTATAGGAACATGTACGAAGAACTTTACCAACAATGATACAAAAACGAATTGAACTTGAAAGTTTACATGATCGTATGAATGGTCTTATATTTGACGTTGAATATAGTGTTGATGCTGTTAAATCACTTGGAAATAGTGATGAACATTTTAATGTAAATATATATTTAATTATTATTTCTATGAAATTCTAATTTGAAAATAATTCTATTTAGAATATTGCAACTCATTTAGAAAAATCTGTGTATATTAGTAAACAAATGAATCTCTTAAAACAACAACAAGTTCAACAACAATTACTGGAGAAAAAAGATGCATCATAGAGACAAAAATCAAAATATTCTCTTATTTCTAGTCATTATTAATATATTTTTTATTCTCTTGTATTGTTTCGTTATTCAAATCTCGATCAAAATTTATTATACAAAAAATTATTCATCAAACTTGAAAAATAATAATTAAAGAGTGATTGTGAGGTTACAAAAATATATAAAACAACTTCTATTTACTATTATTCGATTTGCAATGAGTTATCTCTAATGTGACCGAAAAAAAATCGTTATATTTATTTCATTGAAACACGAGATACGACAGTCCGATAAGAAGTTTCGAAGAATGGACTGGATCATTAGTATATCCAAGGTCTCCGATTAGGGAGGGGCTGGGGGGGGGGGGGGGTCTAGCCCCCCGCAAAATTCGAAAAGCTGTCTGTCTTTCTGCCAAATTTTAAAAAGCTTTCTGCCAAAACTTGGTCAGAAATCTGGTTTTTATGCTATTTTCGCCTGAAACTCCAATAAAAACACTTTACTTTCTGGCAAAATTTCTGGACTTTCTGCCAAATTTTATCTCTCCCCCTACTTTTGAAAACAATCGAGAACCCTGAGTATATCGTTGATACCAAGTGTCAATAATTTTAAGGCCCACACTTTTCTATTATTCGACGTTACTAGAAAGAATCATAGTGATATAAAGACTATAATTCACCACTATGTACATTCTATTCTCTTAATTCATTATATAGCAATAGTTATAATTGGAATAACATCAAATGTATTTATTCACTATTTCAATAGATATCTTTTCAAAAATTTATTTATAACTTAATATGAATTCTTAAAGAAGAAATTAAACCATATCGTATAATATATATATATATAGGTAAAATTATTCAATAAACAAATCTCCACAAAACAGAAAATACAGATAAAACTCTATCATTATGTATACATATATTTTAACAACATCATCGTCATCGATCACATAGAAACAAATGAAAATCTGACATCAACTTGAATCATAAAATTCGCTTTCAACTAATTTTTCTCGAAATAATTTATACCAAGCTAGAGTATGTTGAGTTAATGTTAAATTATCAAGTTGAATAAATGCTTCTCCAATACATTGATTTTTTTCAAATTTACCAGCACGTTGCCATACTGTTACTTGAAGACGACGACCTTAAATTATTTAATGAAAATAATAATTAATAGAAAAATAAAAATTTACCCATAACATTGCAAGCATTATATTTTAATTTTGCGTGATATTCAGGATTGTAATTTGCTTTTATAGTAGCTGTCTTACGTTTTTGTACTCGACGTGTACCCGTTCGAAGATATCTATAAGTAAGAAAATTTATCTTAGCGTAAAAAAATACTTTTTTTCCAGTTCATATACTAAGTCTGACTTATATATATATATATATTTGTTGTTGAGTGATAGAAGCAATGGCTATTACTTTTTTAGTATTAGTCTTATACAATATTCCTTTTCTAATTCTATACTTTGATGTTTTATTCAAACAATCAACATATAAAAGAATAACTAAAAAGTTTCCAATAATAACTTACGTTTTAACATAAGTATCAGGTGGAATATCATCAGTTCTAGCTGCATGATGATTATTATCATTATCAATAATAACTCGTTCTAGTCCTTTGGCACAAATAACATCTATTTCTAATAATCCTTTTGTAACAATTAAACCAAGTTGAATTTGTCCCATATATATATAATCATTAATCATATTTTCATAATTTCTTGGTGTAACTTGTCCGGGACCAACAGTATGTGTTTGAACATTATTATTTTCATTTATTTTATCTTGTTCTTGTTGATGTAATTTTGATAATGTGAAATATCTATCAATATCATCATCACTTTCACAATTGGATGCTGCGGAAGATTTTCTTGAACCA